AGTTCAAAAGGCGGGGCAGAGAGCAGCACTAATTGCTGATTCTAAGCCCAACCAAAACATATAATACAATAAAACGCTATATCATTATGTATAGCAGACGTAAAAGAAGAGACGTAAGAAAAAGATAAAAGTGTAAACTGTATATACGTGTAAATAATAAACAATTACAAAATAATACAAAAATACAATAAACAATTATAAATAATAAACAATTTCTTGCGAAAATTCTTTTCGTAAAATTTGTTTTATTTGGTGAAAACTGTCATCCGCAAATGAGTGACGTTCAACGTGATAATCAACATTTTTTGAAATATTCAGTTGAAACTTGTTATGAGAAACTCGTGTTTTATACATAAGACGGTCGCAAAAGTCATTTCGAAATGAGAATCCACCGAGATGCAACCCGCACAAGTGGAGAGAGTATATTTTATCTCACAAACTTGCGTTTGATAGAGCTCTTCTTCTATTTTGCAACTCGCGGCTCATCGTTTGTCATGGCGATCGCGCATAACACCCTAAGGGTGCATGTTTCCACGATAATATCGCACACACATTGCTGGTGTGTGGTCATCGTCGACGTCGCGGACGTCGTTTCCTTCCGCTTCGCGCTATCTGCAGCGGCGGCGACGACAACAACGACGACGACGACGACGACGACAAACTAAAAGGTTTGTCCCGATTAGATAACGAGGCGTGCGTCCAGGTGTTCTCGAGTGTTCGAGCGAACTGCGTCATCGGAATTGATGCGCAATATCCCGGAGTCACGCCTTCGTGTCGCACCGTCAATTTGACGGAGCCGATCAATTTTCGAAGAAAAATGTGCGGAGAAAAATAAAAATTGATGAACGAAAAAATAAATTTCCCGAAAATATATACAAAGGAAAGCGAAGCTACGTGAAAGAAGTTGGAAAATCGTTGATTCGTCAATTTTTTATACAGCTGGGGAATTTTCGGACTTTAGAATTTAAATGGGGAATTCAAACGCGCGCGCGAAGGGTTTGATGGGGCGATCTAGGCGGCACTTATTCGAAGTGAAAAAGGTCGATCTCGGGATCGAACAGCCTTCGTTAAAATTTAAGTGACAAGATCATTTATTAAACCGACAGAGTGTATTTCCCAATATAGAATGTTCTAACATAGAAAAAACGACTTAACGGTCAGTCTTTTAACGCGCGCGCAGCAACGTTATCATGTATCTCTCTGACTTTTAAGGCTCCGGGTGTTTTATACTTTATTTTTTCATTTTCTCTTTCCGGTTTTTTATATTTGACCCGTTTTATACGTTGTTATACAGAAAAGAAAAAAAAAAAAGAACGAGGGCGCGCGTTTGCAAGACGCGCGACGGCGACGAAAAAGGGGTAGATTGCTGCGAGAGCTCGCGCACGACAAATTCCACCTCGTTAAGAGTCGCGGCCATCGACGGGCTGGCATACAAATTGCAAACTGCACACCGCGCTCGCTCTCTCTAATTACGACCTCGGAGGCGGCTCTAACGAGCTCGCGAGCTCGGTGATCGCTTCCATAAAGTCATCCCGGACTTTATTCCGCGGGGAATCAAAACGCGGCGCGTGTTTCGCGTGCTAGGAGGCTCATTCGTATATATCTATCCAGTGTCTCATTTTGCCCGAGACTGACACACGAGAGAAGTCACGAGGGAAAGTACATGTCCTTGTATCTCTCTTTTCACGTGATATACGCAGTATAACTTCGTTTAATCCGTAGATTGCATGACCTGCAGCCTCGCGCGTATACACACACACATACACACACACACACACACGTATACGCGCGGACGCACATATCGCGAGACTCATCACGATCCACTCGCGTACTTAATTATTTCCGCTTGCGTCGTCCTCTGAGAACCGAGGCTGCGGGTATTTTTTTTTTCTTTTGCGACGTAAACGACGACACAAACAGTAAATTTTCATATTAAAGGCGGTCGTATATGCATACGGGAAATTATACGTTTGTTTAAACAACAGGGGTGCGCGCGCGCACGCACACGCACACGTACACACACAAAAAAAAAAGAAAGTGCGGGAAGGAATTAACGTATATATTAACAGAAACAAAATATTTTCCGACTCTTTGCGCGCAAAGATTCGGCAAACATCACATGTTTGCCGAACGTAAGCTTCAATAAATACGCAAACAGGTATTTCGCGCGTTCTCTCTGCGCCGATGTGTTTGCTCTTCTACTTTAAGTCTGCCAATTTGTTCTTGTGACATTTTGTTCGCGATACAAGTTTATATTGCAAAAGAGTATCGTGTGCGCGTTCGAGTATTTTCCATTTTCAATAATGTTTGAAAATGGCAAAAGTACATCTCTGACACGTCGGAGAGAAACTCTGCAGCTGCGGCGAGAGACCGATATCCACCACCATCATCTCTTCTCACGAAGATGAGATCATCTCTGTGTGTGCGTGTATGTGTGTCTTTCGACGGTGACAAATAATTTTCAGAAAAATATCCCTAGAAACGAGAGAGACGGAACTCTCTCTCTCTCTCTCTCTCTCTCGGGAGATGGCAGGATAACGTGTACGCCAGTGGGAGGAGGGAGGGAATAGCAACGAAGTTAGGAAGGCTACTGAAAAATTGAACGCTCTCAGGGAAGGTTGCATAAGTTTTCGCGTGCCTACGCGAGATGCGTGGGTTTTCTTATACTTTTTTTTTTTTTTTTTTTTTTTTTTACAGAGATGAGACACACTTAGGCGCGCGAGTAATACATGCGCGACAAATACAGATGCAAGAGAGATCTCGCTTTCGAACATTGCCTCAAGATAACTTAATCTTGTTTCTTTTCTTTTTAGATATATACAACATATGTAAGAAATATNCAGTGGGAGGAGGGAGGGAATAGCAACGAAGTTAGGAAGGCTACTGAAAAATTGAACGCTCTCAGGGAAGGTTGCATAAGTTTTCGCGTGCCTACAATAAAAGCTTGCTGTTTCTTATTCTTTTTTTTTTTTTTTTTTTTTTTTTTACAGAGATGAGACACACTGACGCGCGCGAATAAAACATGCGCGACAAAGAGAGATGCAAGAGAGATCTCGCTTTCGAACATTGCCTCAAGATAACTTAATCTTGTTTCTTTTCTTTTTAGATATATACAACATATGTAAGAAATATATCCGGTTGATTTGTATTTCATGTTTACTTAATACGAGTGTATACACATAGACATATTGCGCGTCCGAGAGCAGCGTGACAAAGAATAACGACTTCTTCTTCTTCGCAATTCCTCGGGGTGTTTTACATACTTTATGCATAATTTAACACGATGTTTATTCGCGAACAATTTAGTAGCGTCTCGGTTTGCGCTCGGGTTGTAAGATGAAAGCTCCGGAAATCTCGTGGACGCGAAAATTGTGACAAATAAATAAAATAAAATTAAACAAAACAAAAAAAAAAAAAAAAGAATTGCGGCTTGCCATCAAGCTTTTCACGAAACACAGGGTCTGCGAAATTGTTGCCGGCTTAATAGAGGTGGCGTATATACGCGGTGCTCGTAGTTTTTTTTTTTTCTTTTTTTTTTTTTAATACAATCCCTTTTAATGCGCGGAGAGCGGTCGTAATCGCGCTTGTACAATCGTTTTATATACTTCGCGATCATTTAATTGTACTAATGCGACTTTTATGTGACCACGCGCGATCACGAAATTGCCTCACTAAAAGACGCTAGTAAACTGCGCAAACTTCCAACGCAGACGAAATTTCTCTTTGTTTTTCTTTTTTGCTACGAGAACAAAAATAAAACATTCACGTAAGTTAGCGATCGAACGCACAATTGAATCAAACGGGCGAAGTTATCGCGCAGCGACGACGGCGTTTGCTTGCGAGAATCGGGAATTTATGTGTATCAATTAAGAGGGAAGCGGAAGCGAGAGACACGCGCAACTTTACAGCTCCGTAATTTCCCGCAGTTCATCTCCCGATGAAACTTGAATGGAAAACCGTCAATGTTTGGCGTCCGAGCCCAGCATAAAATTTTAACCGAAGCGCGATTCATTAAATATTAACCGTACATCGACTTTATTTTTTTTTTTTTTGCCTCCCTCGTTGTTTAATTCAGACCGGCGTGCATGGACGTAATAGTAACCGTCATGAATGAGTAATTCCTTAATGCCGTTTTAGGGAGGTTACGTTCTCCTCGGATCTTGCGTTTCCGCAAGTAACGTTCTAAATGGATCATCCGATATGTATTAACGTATGTGCGCGCGTGCTCTCTATATGCGGGCGAACGTTCGCAAGCGATTTGAATCTACTACCGGACGGTCGTTCGTCGGCTCGGTAAATCTTGCGGCGAAAACCGTCGCCCAAATTGCATTTCGCGCCGGAAATCTCGAAAGGCTACACAAATCGGACCGTCACGTTTTGCGGTCGATGCTCTCGAAGCACTTTCGGAAAGGCGGAGTACTCGAAATTGGCCGCGACTACCCTCTCGAAAACCGATACCCACGTAGATTCAACTCGTGCTCCCGTCGCCACTGATTCGTCCGATATCCTGTCGTGCGGACTCCGTTCTGTGTGTTCCTTAAATTTCTAATTTTAAAAGCAAGTCTATCGCGGAACCGATGTGTATCCTCGCGAGAAAGAATGTGATAAGAGCGCGCGAGTAAACTCGATAAACTAACGAGTAACAAACAATAAACGTAGAAATCTAAAATAATAGATTAAATCTTTATTCGAATCTCCCGTGCAATCCCCGTATTTGTCTTCAAGCTCGAGACCTCAAACAACACTGTACAGTTTCGCAAATTTACACGGTTTGTTAATTGGATTAGCCGGTGGTCCGAAGGGAGATCACTTAGCGCGCGTCGTGTACGGGTAAAGCCGCGCGGGACGTGTCATGTGACGGATATCCGTCTCTCCGCGCGTCTCTAAGTAAGTGATACTGACGGATATATTTGCGCCTACGCATATATACGTATATGATGTGTTTCAGGGGATGGCAGCGTAAGGTAGCGGCGGCGGACTATTAGGCCGGGCTACTCGAGATGAACACAAACGGCAACGCGGTCGGTCAGGAAGGTGGTGCCGGTACCGATTACGGCGGGAACGAGGAGACGGCGGCTCTGCTTGGCAGGCCGCCGCCGCCGCCGGTCGTGGTGGCCGCGGCGTCTCAGAGCAAACCGGTGCTCACGCGGCAGGATCGAGCGACCTACCTGATCGCTTCGCCGCAACTGTCCGTGTCCGGGCTCGGCGGCTCCGAGGAGAGCGGCACCAACGAGGACCCGGCGACCCGATCGGTACCGGACATCGAGCTTCACTGCCGGCTGGACGGCGAGCCGCAGCCGCAGATCCAGCAGCCGCAGTCGCAGCCCCAATCCCAGCAGCAGCTACAGCCGCAGCTGCAGGCGCAGCCGGTAGCGTCCTACCGTTCGTCCAGGCAGTCGTCGCATCAGCACAGATGCAGGTGCGATCGGAGGGATTCCCTCGCGCCCACCTCGGCTCTACAGTTGGCCCGCAGCGTTTCCAGGTAGAGCACAGAGAGAAAGAGAGGAAATGGAAGGATAATATACAATAATGTCCGTTTGCGGAAAGCGAACAGTAAATATACCGTTCTGTGCAATTCAGAGCGTACGTTTCAAGTCCGGTTTTCTTTACATCCTATTAAGTACTCCGAGATAAATAAAAACGAAACGAGGCGAGCTCACAACTTTTATCTGACATGAGCGAATTTTACATTCGTTTTTAAGATGAGCGACAATTTAGATCTCTCTTTACATAGATCTTTCTTTCGCGCAATATCGCGCTTGTTATAACATGAATAAAATAGGAAAATGAGAGACGTAGGGTAGTTGCCATGTGTTACAACACGTTCACGTGTAACGCGTGACAGTGTTGATCTACGACGAGTTAACGTGCGCCGAAAGAAGGAAATAGCATTTGTGCACAGCTTTAAACACGCGCGCCGAAAGTTTTGACTTGTGTAATTGGTAAAGTTTAACTACTCCGCGAACATTAGTCGACATAAGCCGCCGCGAACTTGCTTTTGTAATGTAATAGAATTGGAGCAAATAGTTCTCCAGACAGTTCTCGATAAGGGACGGGGGCGATACGAAACAGGAATTCGCCGTCTTGCAATTTCCCGATGGTTCGCTTATGATTTCGTTATGCATCCTCAAACTCGATGTTATTTATTCACATCGCGCGATGCGCACCACTTCTGCGATGTCCCGGATTGCATATTAAAGCTTCTGATATTCATTAAATGTGCTTCTTTGCGGTTTTGCAATTTTTAAGTCGCACGAGATGCGCCCTCGTTAAAAAGAAAAAAGTCTCGTAAAAAAATTTTTTTCATTTATTTTATCTTCTTGCGACGGAACAATTTGGCACAGCGAACGTTCGTAAATGTCATGTGTTTTAACAAAATTGCAAAATATATTCCATTTCTTTCTCAGTATCTCGTCTCGGGCTGCAATTTGAGGAAACATTAAGATTAAAGGGGGGAGCGGGATTTTCCGCGGATCAGTGCGGCGAAAGAAGAAACTATTCGCGAAATAGCCGCGAATCGACTTGCGTTCTTACGTAAGTACGGCCGGCAATTCGCCGCGAATCGTCCCGGAAATGCGTTGCACTCGGAAAAATGCAACACCTTTGTTTCCTTAGTCGAGGGTCGGCCGGGCGGAAGAGATCTCTCTCTCTCTCTCTTTTCCCTCATCTCTCTTTCTCTCTCTCTCTCTCTCTTTCGTGCGCATTTTCCCTCGGCGGATTCTTCTTGTCGCCGGCGCGAATTTCTAGAACGATTCCATTCGCTAAAAGTTGAGCCGTGGAATTTCATGTCGTCTCCCGCGACTCCTTCAGAGGTCAAGAAAATATATGTGTACGTGAGAGCGTCGGAGAAAAGCGAGAAATGTGAAAAAAAAAAAAAAAAGAAAAAATTACGTCTTCGTTGTATTCTCGACGCGAAAATCGCGCTACGTTAAGTTCTCTAATCTCTTTTCATTTACGTGTGACCTTTTCAGTCATGTTTTAACTCGCGTCTTAGCTATTAGTCAGTAAGTTAATTTCGCCGCTGGCAGTTAAATTTATTGCTAACATTTATTCTTCGTCAAATTTTGTTTCGCTAACCCTATACATGGTGAAAATAAACCGCGTATAAAAAAGTGTTGAAATATGACGCGCTCATAATGGCTAAAAATAAGTCAAGACATACTAAGATTAAAGACTCTCTTAACTATATAAGATTGAAAAACAAAGAAGCCAAACTTTGTGTGCGATGAAAATACGAATTAATTAAAGAATTATCTTAAGATATCTTTTCATATAACTTACATAAGTCAGAAAAAGTTCGATGATGAGAACTGAAGACTTTTGTAACAGCAAGAGAGAAAGAAAGAGAGAGAGAGAAAGAGAGAGAGAGAGAGAGAGAGAGAGATGGAGTTTCAATTCGGCCGTTATGAAATTATGAGATCACAAGATTACGGTAAATGATATCGCGTCCTCTTCATAATGTATTCTCGTACGTAAAGTCCTGTACAATGAAGTTCCATTTATCAAGGGCGAGTTACACCGCGTGTAAACATCTTTTATGCCTTTTGACGTAAAATAAGTATATTGATACATGAATAAAAGATGTATTGTTATCGTAAGAAGCTATTCAAAAACCGGCGGGACTTCGGTTTTCATCGAAGGTCACCCGCGCGAGTTGCACGACAGTTAATGATATCTCTGCGCAACAGATCCTCCGCTATCCTGTCTTGTAAGCCGAGAACTCTTGAGGTGTTCAGCCAGACAAAGAGGTCTCGTCTCGTTGTCTATATATATATTTCATCGACGAAAGTGAATTACTTAGCGTTCAACCGCAACAGGGGCAAGAAAGAAGGGGAGTACCGGAATGTTCTGATAATTTTATCGGAAACGTCAATGTTTATATGTACACAATATGTATATATGTACACATAATATTCTACGATGCTACTATGTGTTATTACTATGTATTATCACGTTCTATGAAAACCTCTTCAATAATGTAATTGCTTCGATATCCAAAAACCATTATTCGTGTAATCGTTGTACCCGAAAGGTACCTTTGAGATAACTGTCAATTTAGCGGTGCAGTAGTTTTCAGTGAGACTAGTCGCACGGACGAGCGGTTCCCGTGCAATATATATTGGATCCCCGCATCTGAGACTATCGGCGCGGCACAACTTTGTGTAAAGTCCGTAAAACCGATCCCGCTCCCTCGAACAGTATTCAAAACACAAACTTTCAGTCAACGGACTGTACATACTGCAGTATACTGAATTTTAAAGTAGTTTTTTTTGTGCATCTTTTTTTTCGAAAACCAAAACATGCAAATCGAACTTTATTCGCCGATTTGTTCGGCGATAATCACGACGACGAGAGGATTTCCGTCGTAAAACCGCGTAATAATTTTCTGTTTTTCGAAAGGGAGAGCGTGAAAAGCAGCCACCACTGTTGTCCGTGTCAGGCGCCGCCGCCGCCGGTGTTGGTCACCACGTCACCGAACGCGCGCATAATACGACAAAGCTCGCAACCGGAGGCGTCCGCGTGCTGCTGCTCCGGCTGTTGCTGCCCGCTGCACACCGGCGCGGCACCGAGCGCTGCCTCGCTGCGGCAGCTCCGCGAGCCGGGCGACGGAATTGCCGGCATCGCAGCGGACTCGCTGCGGATCAATGGCGGCATCCGACAGTTCCGGCAGGTAAGCCCCGCGACCTCACCTCTACACACCGGTACCTCACTCACTCACTCACTCTTTTTCTCTCTCTCTCTTTTTCTATATCTCTTCCTTTCTCACTCTCGTAAATCTAAAATACAATACATCGCCCACGGATATGCAAGAATACCATTGCGTCGACAATGCGACACTCATAGAAGTTGAACAGGATAATTTTTTTTTTCCGAGTGATATAAAAAATTTTATTCCCGGGAAGAGAGGATGGAAATGCATCGGGGCTCTGGTGTTAATTTTAGTCGCAGCGCGCGTTTGATCGTATCAAACGTGTGTGAGCTGAATAACCAGTATTGAACCGAAAGTCAAAACCTGTGACGAGTTTGATCTTTCGAAAAAAGAAGAGTTCAACCGGTGAACACGGACCCCTATATGTTTATTCAATATCGCGCGCTCTCTCATGTATATCTACCTAATAAGTGAATATATTGCTGCACACAGTTGTGGGAGAATTCGCAGGAGGAACAAAATTTGCATGTATAATACGAGCAAATCATAATAGATCCCGGGAGAATCGAAGAGTTTGCAGTTCGAAATTCGCAGTTGTCTAATTTATCACGCGACGCGATGCCGCAGCAGTTGGTATTCTTACATCGTGGACGTACCACCTGTATCACCGTCGACGCGGTTTATGCATACGTCGTGACACACATACACGCACATACCCACATCCATTGACACTCTCCCGCACATATCTCCATTTGTCCGCCTTTCTCTCTCGCGTGTGTGTTCTGTTTGTTTTCACTTCCTGTTCAGTTTGTTAGTTCGGAGAGAAAGAGGAAGAGAAATGGTCGCGTGTAATTGATAAACGGGCTTGTTGAATGAGAACGTCGAGGTACAAACCTCGGGGGAATATTCGCGTTTTGTTACTTATCTCTCTTCTCGGACACCAACTCGGACGCAACGAACAATTACGTCTTCAACAATTTGGTTTTCTTTTTTTTTTTTTTTTTTTTTTTTTTTTTTCTTTTTTCAGTAGTTTGTTCAAATGTCGCAAGTTCTCGACATAGACGCGTTTACTCGAATTAGCGCGTGCTCTACGGGCTTTGTTCGAAAACTGATGATGCAAATTCGTGAGAATCAATGACACGTNGCAACGAACAATTACGTCTTCAACAATTTGGTTTTCAACAATTTTTTTTTTTTTTTTTTTTTTTTTTTTTTTTCAGTAGTTTGTTCCTAGACAGTTTGTTCTCGACATAGACGCGTTTACTCGAATTAGCGCGTGCTCTACGGGCTTTGTTCGAAAACTGATGATGCAAATTCGTGAGAATCAATGACACGTGTCGATTTCGAGAGACGGTTCAAAATCGACAAATCATTGCGCCGAAAGAGTAACAATGTTAACAAACAAGCGCCGCAACGATTGTCCTCTGTCTCTCTCCTGATTTTCCACGCGCATGTTTCTCACCTGCGTGTTCGTTTCCGTGTTTTCGTCTGTTTTCTACGTATACGTAATAGTGTTTCACTGTCTTGTTGTCAAGTTGCTCGATTCTTTTATTCGTGTTTCTCTCTGTACTCGTTATATATTACATTCTCGTTTGTTTCGTCACATATATGATATATATATATATGTATATACGTACGTATGTACGTAAACATATTATACATGTATATATAGTTGTTTGTGGTGTGTGATTTATGTGTCTTTGTAAATGTTTCGTTTTCTCTTATCGTTTGTCTCACCTCCATCTGCCTCCTGGGAGACAGATTTCTTTCTTTCCTCTTGCCTCTTCTTCGTTTCTTCAGCGCGTGTATATCTATTTTTTCACACTCTCTCGTCGGAGGTTTCACCGGCGTGTAGGCCCGGCGGAATCGTAAAATTGCGGAGCGCCGAAGGAAAGATACACAGAGAGCAAGTTTTATGGGATCGAGAGTTACAGCGCAAACTTTACGAGACAGCCGATTGCACCGCTTCCATCATGAAGAACACCCGCGACGGGCTCTTCCTTTCCTAATGGCGTTATTAGCCGTTCCAGCTTGTCGTTGATGGCTAGTCTCGTTGATGGTTTATCGTGGCGTGCAGCGAGAGAAATAGTTTATCTCTTCTCTCGATGTTCGAGTCGAGATTGTCTTTTTCTGATTTTCCGGGCGTGTAATCGCAATTGTGTAGTTTTATACGCGTCGTTTCATCTCTCGTGAAATCGAAAAATTCTTATTTTTCCGTGAATTTATAGATTTAGCGATCTTCTTCATTCTGAAATTTCTCGATTAACTTTATATTTAAAAATATGTAAAAATGACAAGATGAAGAATGATCCCGGATTTGTGTCGTTTAAATTAAATGTGAAAAACGGCAATTGTATATCACAAATACGCAGAATTTTGTGCAAAATTTTTTTACTGGACTTTATATAACCCATACGTTTCGATTCACATCTTTTACAATTGGTAAACTATAAGTTACGTTTGACAAAGTTAGAACAAATGGTTAAAGATTGACAAAAGAGTTAGATGCAAAATTAAAAGATATATGATTTAAAATATATATTTCAAAAATTATAAAATATATTTTTAATATACATAAATATAAAATGTAACATTTTTTTTGGTGTATTAAACATTTTAATTTGTTTCTGATTCTCGACAAATATTTTAATTTAACAGCTAGTTTAAATAATTTGATGATACGTAATAAATTCAAGAAGAAAAAACATTTAAAAATCAAAGGATTTTTATGAGATTTTTGGATTGTGTGAGATCTGTTGATATGTGCAAAATTGACGCGACAAATTTATCACTAACGTATCGTCTCACGGAATTTGTACAAGTCGAATTAAGGTGCGAAATAAGTTCTTATCGGTAGAGCTCGGCCGTCGCCACCTGGCGGAGGGTGAAAAGAACTGTGGAAAACCACCCCTTAAGAGATGTAGTAAACTAGGAATCGTACCGGCGGAGAGAACACAACACTGTTTGCTCGACGTTCGATATCTTACTTACCGGATTCTTGCCACCCTGTCGCGATCGTAGAATCCCGACACGATACAGATGGCAGTTGTTGTAAAAAAAACTACCCCTCTTGAAAGAATCACTTGAAAGGAAATACAGAAAAAGGGGCACTTTAATTTAATTCTTTTTAAACCGAATGTAGCTTGTAGAATCTTTTTCTCTCGAAGTTTTGAAACCCCTGCGGTAAAAATCGAATCCGAAGAAAAGAAAAAAGCGAGTCCATTCATTGAATAGTTTCTCGTGATATATCGAATTTTCTTGCTCGGATCTTTCTAAATAATTACGCAACGTAACAATCGCACTATATTTCTTTCTTTTCTTTTTTTTTTTTTTGTAATCATATTAGACGCGTTCTCTCGACTAGCGCTCACACGAAATTTTGCTTTGCGGAAACGAATAATACATTTTTTATTCGCGCGAAGTGCTACTGTTTTTTCTGGTTTACCCGATGGGCATCAGCCTCGCTCTAGTTTTTTTCTTTGTAACAATCGTAATTTGCTTAATTCCACGTGGAAGCCCTCTCAAGCGAGAATGCGGACCGAAATTTCTGCCATCATTAAACGAGATTTGCGTCGGCAAAATGAAAAGGAAAAGGACGGGTCGGGGAGCGGGTTCTCGTGACATTGTTAGTTTAATTACGTCTCCTTGGCACATGGAAACGCCGCTTGCGGGGCTATGGTCCTCCCGGTGGTAAGACTCCTGTGGGTGGTGGTTTTGGCCGGTGGCCAACCAGGGTACGGTTCTCATGCATACTACGAAGATTCGCTCTACGACGAGAACCTTCTCTCTCTCTCCACGTTTTGACATTTTGCACGAGTCGGGTAATCACTGTGAAATGCGGCATAGTTGATTAATCAAAATGGATTTCGGCGTGTGTGTCCTACGTGATACTACAGGTGTGTACAAGAGACGTCTGATAATTCTACCGTTGTTCCCCACGTACGTGTGTATTCCCGATCCGAGCGTATTGTATATTTTATTTCAGTCGATTCACGCGAATATTGTTTTAACATTCGAAATTTAAGAAAACACTAGCACAACACAGACGCGCGCTACGCGCACGCTATTATTATTTTTGTTTTAACGTGTTGTGTCAGTTGAACACAACCTATCAGCGCGATGACAGCTAGTATATACGTCTTACAAACCATATAATAACACATATGAGAGATGTCAGAAATAGCGCATGAAAATCACACTCGAAAAATAGTGAGAAAGAGAAGTGGAAGAACAACACGTGATTACAGTCACGTGACTTTATTTTACTTACGTGTCTTTAAAAACGTGACAAAAGTAAAGTCGCGTGACTTTAGTCACGTGTTGTTTTTTTACGCACGCTTTTTCTGGCAGGATTGTTTTTAACATTTCGTCTCAACGAATCGTCTCTTTTGTGCAACATACGTTTTGTGTGTATGTGATATCAATAAGCAAAAATAGATAAGAGAAGCATTGAAGCTGAACACGCACAGCGTGTTCTGTCGAGAAAAAACAGATATAAAAGTGAGGATTTTGCGACATACAAACGCGTGTACAGCTTTGTGCTTAGCATTTTGATCACGTATACGTAAACGCGATTACACACATTTTTCCTCCCTTGGTTTTTACGTTTTTAATTATAACGAATTTAAATGCGTGACAGCGTTTTTTCGCAGCTGCGAAAATCATATTGCCGCATTGCTCTTTGAAATCGCGATGTCCTCGCGATTTTTCACAAGCGCGTTTTTTTCCATGTTCGAGATAATTTTTGTCTCTCGTTTTTTCTTTCCGCCTCGCTGCCATGTAAAACTCCACGGCGCCGGACGTGGCGAAATCAGACTCTCAGTTACAACTGTTGCTTAGTTTTTTACTTACTTTCCAGCGGAGATTTTTTTTTTTTTTTTGTTTTCAACTCCAGGTTTTGACTATGACACTAGTTCGCAAACGGGACGTGAGATTACGAAAAACGAATTTTCCCACAAAATAAACAATTTTGAGCAGCAGAGCGGTGATTTTTCAAATATCTCGAAAGCGGCAACACAGTGAGTTTTCTAGGTCAATTGTTTCCTCCGCCGTATATCGCAACCGCTGCAACTATACGGTTCTAAATCAAGATTTATAAACTACATTTATTTATCCTAAAATCGCGGGCCAATTTTTTATTCCGCTCTCTTTCTCTCTCTTTTTTTACACGGATACAAAAGGTATTATCTTTAGCTGCGAACTACGTATTCGTGGAATCTCGTCGTTTTTGAGAACTTAATCTGCTAAAGTCAAGTTTCATATTTCACGAAGGTCGCGGAGAGATGAGGGTGCAAGCAATGAGAAACTCGACTTGTCGAGAAAGAGAGAGAGAGAGAGAGAGAGAGAGAGAGAGAGAGAGAGAGGAAGAGAGTTTCACCGGTGAAACTTCAGCATCGGTTTTCTATTTGTTTCGGGGACGCCGCTCCTCTTATTATGCGAGATTAAACACAAAGGATCTGCCCGCGAAGAGAGGATCTGTCTCTACGGAGAGAGACTGTGAATCTGAATCTTTCATTGCGCGTCTCGCATATATTAGCTTCGCAGAACTTTTAATTTCGCACTCATCCCGTAAGGATAACAGCTCGGGCATTTGCATAAGGATAAACTTTCGACCGTCGCGCTTCTCGCGAGCTGTTCTGCGAGATCGCCGTCTCCGCAGACGGCCACGTGACCGTATAATCGACGGAAAAACATCACACGGAGATTGTGTAAAATTTAAAGTGAATTTTTGACCTTTTGAAACTCGCGGGGGATAGACGAAGGTGTTTTATTTACGGAGATCGTTATTCCTCCTCATTTGGTAATTATTTCCTTCGCGCTCATTTATTTCTCTACGCCGCGGGTAATAAATAATTAAAAACCCGATTAAAATATACGTGACTAAAACTAATTGGAAATTGATGAGCTTATTTCCATTGCGAGTGTTTGGCTTAATTGCGTGACTTTTGCATTTTTACTTTGCAGTTATTAATCCGAATATCACTCGGCAAGTCAATCAATATCGCATTTTAATTGTTTATTAATTGTTATGATAATGAGACGAAATTCTCGTATTATATTTCTTTCTCGTATTTTATCTCGTGTCGAAAAATCGCTAGAGCGATGACGAATAGGCTAATTTCCATAGAGATTCGTACGCGTGACGTTCTTCTCTTTTTCTCTCTTTCTCTCGGGACGCGTTACGCTCGAAGACACGAACGAGAAAAATATTACGATCGGGAATTTTCTCGAATTCACAGGCCCGTCTCTTTCTCGCGCGATGGAACTCTTCCGTCTCCTCGGCGCGGAGTCAAATTGTGGTTCTTTCCATCGCGAAGAGTGGATAACGTTCAAATTGCGTCGTTGCAGTTACTTTACACTCTCTCGCTCGTCCTCAACTTCGTCGATCAATTTGGTCAATTGGCTCGAAGATTTCCTTCCGCGCGGTACATCGTGGAAAAGTTGCCGCACATCCGCTGTGCAATTCCGTAACGAACCGCTCGAACTTCGCGGCAAAGAGGAAAAGAGAAAAGAAAGTGCGGACGCGGTCGGTAATTAGCGGGGTGCGACTAATTAAGCGAAGAAAACTCAATCAATAGTCTCGGTCTCTTCATTCCGGACGCGGTTATTAATTTTGCGCGTATTAATTTTGCGTCTCGCAAGCGATAAATGGAAGGAAAGAGAGAGAAAGAGATAGATACTGTTGCGAGAGCAATTTATCATTGCAAATAATAATTATAAAAAAAAGAGACATCAGCGGAGAATTGCTCGTATTATATAACGCGGAAAAAGACTATAACTGCGTGAGATGAATAATGCGCGAGACTTTTCTTATTTTATGAACTTTTATACGTTCATTTTTTTCTCACACTTTTTTTTGATGGTAGTTATTTATTTGTAGTTACCTTTATCTTTTTTGCGCGACAAAAAGATTGCTTGTTTACGTCGCTCAAATATCGTCGTATATATATATACACACATAAGTAGCACAAATCAAGTTAAGTGTTCCTACAGAAAAAGTAATGCGGGAATCGTCCCTATTCGATTTCGATTATCCGCAAAAAAAAAAAAAAAACGCGTCAGGCGTTTCGTCACGTTCATAATTGATTGCCCAGATTTGCTCCTTTGGGAGAAAATCCCGAACTTATGGCGAAAAGGTGTTTCGGATCCCTTTCAGCGAGGATATCAACTCCGCGGAAAAAAAAAAAATGCTCATAGAACACAAACGTGATCCGGTTCCTCACTCGGATGAGTTTCTGTTTCGGATAGGAGAGGAGAAAGGTAAATAGCTGTGTGTGTCTATATTTCGTCGTTGTTATTTTTCTTCAGTAATTAGACAAATATTATCGCGCTCGGTAGAATGTTTATCAATATTCCACATTCTCCATCGATCCGACATATCAATTAGGGAATACGTCTGTACGTTCTATAAGTTTCAAGGTTGAAGGTGTGCGAAGTTAGAAAAGTAGGTTTCCCACGCGAAGGACTCGATCCCGAAGTATTTGAGAGAAAACTCGTAGAGAACTCGTAGAGAGAGAACTCGGTGCGGTACAATTGGACTATATTCACGGACTATCGGAACGTGATACGGGGGAGGGAGATGGAGAGGAGGGGCTTTTCCGCTTCGAGACTGCATTTGGTCTTCCGGCGTCTGAAGAATTAATCGCCGATGCTCCGTCCTCACGCACGAGCGACGGCTTATCCGGCGCGAGGGGACTACGTACTAACCGATAAGAGGTGCCAATCCGTTTCTGTCCGTTATCCGACGTTGCTCGGGTCTGGGGGCGTCGTAAATCTCCCACGCGAGCGACGGCGACGGAATGCCACATTTTCGCCAAGGTATTTTTCCCTCCTCTTCCCCCCGTCTCTCTCGCGATTTCTTCACGCAGATTAACCGGTTTGCCATTTCCGCGACGATCTCTTCGTATATTTATCATCCTCTCTTCTTTCTCTCTTTCTTTTTCTTCTCCCTCTTTACAATCCTCCTCCCCTCCTCATCGAGCGTGTCTTCGAGAGTGTTCGTCGTACATTTTCATCCCCCCGTCCTCGATCAACTAGCGACCGACCAGTCCGACTTTAGTCTAGTCTAATCCCCTTAGATCGGTTTACATGGAGTCAGCAAAAGGCAGATGAAAAGAGTATACGCGCATACAGCAGCGATTGTAGTATCGCCTAGCAATATATCAAGTGTGGTAAATTAATATATATTCGATTGTAAATATTTGACGACGGAATACGGCGGATGAATCGCACGGCAATATTAGGATGATGAAAAATATAACCGTTAAAAACGAAATTTTTTTCTTTTTTTTCTAGCAAGCGAAACCTTTCAATGGCAAAGCCGGTTTCGCTCACAATAAGTCAAGTGCGACGAGAACGAGACCGAGTTCTCGCTCTCGAGATATTGACATAACGAAGGACATTCTAAGATGTTCAAAGGGGGCTTTCTCTATTCGTTTGCTCGTCCCCTCGCAAACTTGTTTCCTACTTGACTCGTCGTTGACTATGAATAAGTGGGATGCTCGCGTGCGGCAACTAGCCCGCGGCCAGGAAGCACGGAGCACATTGGAACATGCCGAAAGTTTGTTTGTTTGTCTGTCTGTCTAAACTAATATCCTCGGCAGGATATCGTTACCGTGCCGACCGCAAATTGGCGGAAGTAAAATAGACGATGGGCTTTCACATCGCATTAACAGACGAAGTAACAAACGATATATTGTTGATTAAAATTGCGATGATAACGTCACGCGATTGTTTTTTTCCTTAACATCAACATATCCAGAACGGTTTAACGTTTTGATGGAAAAACAATATGTACTCGGGTCATGTTGTTGTTGATATATTGTTAATGCAACGGAATTGTATGTAATTAACAAGTTTGTCAATCTTGTTAAATTTCCGAGCAAAGTCTATTTATATTTCAATTTCAACCCGGTAAGCGCATACAAATTTCACCGTTTGAGAAATCTTACGAGGCAACATGGCAGTTCTCCTCGTCGGGCGTTCGTGAGAATGCAAGTTATATATACACATATATATATAGTGGTTATATACCACTTCCATTGTGTTACGTGCTTGTTACGGAAGGTTGGTGTTTGTCACTTCGCAACAAGTAACGCCACCCGCACTTGACTTGCCTCTTTGCTGATTTCGCGTAGACCAACAATTGTTAGTAGTCGTCTTAGCAGTAGCGTCGAGCAGTAGCAGTCGGCGTAGATGACGAGAAGCTTGTTTTAGAGAAAACGACGGAGATAGAGAAGTCCGCGCGCGACGGGTTTCTCGAAGAACGAAACGCGCAGGATAAAGGAGAGAGGAAAAACAAAAAAAAAATAAAAAAAAATAAAAAATAAGGAGAGAGATAATTCCACTTGTGAAAGCTATATTGTGTTATATATATATATATATATATATAGCTGAGTCAAAAAGTTACACAGCTAGATCCGTTTGACCGGAGATGGTGGTTGATTCGCGAGAACAATTGTTGCCGCAACCAATTTCCGTGTCCGTCCACACGTGTCTCTGTCTTTTATATTGTCTTTGCACTTGTGGTGTCATGTCTCGTCGTCCACACGTGCACCGCGACCGCCGTTACGGGAGAGATCTGAATACCATTAATTAACCACGTGTTATCTCGATATAACGCGCCTCTATAGTTCCCATGGTGGTGCAAGTCGTCCTCGGCGACGATGGCGGCGGGGGCGCCTTCCTCCACGGCCGCGGCGTCCGGCCCAGCATCAGCCGGCGCCGCTTCCGGCACACAGAGCGGCCAGGGCGTCGTACTCTGTCCACGTACGCTGTCGCAGGTGCGACGATCACGACTACGCCGGGCCCTCACCGAGGCGACCGCCGAGACCGTCAACTACGTCAAGACGGTGACGATTTTTTCAAGCCCTATTAAAACCGCCCGCGTACCGGGTGTTCCAGATTTTGCGCTTTCTTCCGCGATGGTTTTTTGTTTTTATTACGTGTGTATGTTTTTTTTTTTTTGTTTTATTTCGAATAAATCATCGAATTTCGAATTAGAAAAACATTTATTTTTATCACTTTGCCTTTTTGAATTCCAAGTGAAAAATTTCGTTTTTATTTACGAGTTTGAAAAACTCAGTCGATTCGCAATTTCATATCGAGTTTGTTCAATTGTGATTTGTGTCAATTTAAATTCCGCGATCGCGCGGGAAGAAAGAACGCAATTTCTGGAATACCTTGTGCGCGACATATGCCTTGCATAACGTATGCACATGCACGCACAACGCAATTGGTGACGATATTAGCGGAACGTTCGACAGAAACTGGACCGTACGGGGGTATAAAAAAGAAAAGACGTCTGGTAGAAATGGTCATGCTATGCTTCTCTGCGTCAGCTTCCCTTTTATAGTCCCTCACAACAGGCGCCGTAATTTCATTTACGCGCACGTAAAACGTGCGCCTGAAACTGCGACACACGAGATACACACACACAATTATACGATTGGCAACGTATGAAATCGTCGAAACGTAAGTAAGTATCGTAAAGAAATAAATTTTTAAAAAATTGTCTTGTTCTTTATAGAAATATTAGTGATCGAGCATGTTGATCCTTTCGATTATACGTGTTTTTATTTTTTCCTGGATAGTAATTTTTTATAATTAGATTTGTTTTGGTCAAAAATTTAACAAAATTTTTTGGACGAAAGCATCAAAATCAAAAGAACGGCGCCGTTTTGATTTTCGAACGAGTTAAAATTACTGCTTGTTTTATCGCGTTGCTTTTTGATTTGTTTTTTCGCGTCGATTCGGTAAATTTGTTAGTACGCGTTGCTTGCGAAGTACTTCGAGTCGATCTTTGTCTAGAGTAATGGAAGGATAAAAATAAGACGGATGTGAAGAATTTGAAACGTTAAATTGCAACAGACGTATATAAAACTATGCAAAGGACATAAAAAATATAGAGGTGCAGTTGCACTAAAACGTTCCTAGGTTCTAGATCTCGAGGGTTTTCGTGAGCTCTCGCTTCGCGTTAAGGAAAGTGCATCTGGCAAATATTGATCGTAACAATCTGCGCTTTACGCTACATTCCTCGCGCGGGATGCGTTTCCGTAGTAAACGCGGCGAAATACGACGCCCAAGAAATAATAAAATCCTTCTCCTCGTCGAGCGAACGAGCGACGCCTCTGCGCGGCACGGAACGCGGAAATTTCGTCGCCGCGACTTTACTACAGTAGCACAAGAATGTTTCGAGAGTTGTTGAGAGAAAAATTGCTTGACCGAGCGTCTCTCTCGCGCGCGTAACTTTTGCAAATTTTTATCTCGGCTGACAAAAAAACAATTTCCAACAAACGCGCTGCGCTCATTTCTCTCTCCGCGACATGTACATATGCGTACGCGACTATTAAATTTTATCGATATTCACATATGAAGTTCTTCTCATTGCGCATTTGCATGTACGATACAATATGTTTAATTAAAATAATTATTTCCCGCGTTTATATCGCGCAAAGTTTAACTTTTGGATAAAAAAAAAGAAAAAAATCTGTTGCGAACAGATATTGATTTCGCGATATAGTAAACCAGGAAAATGGTGCCGATGATGCGTATCAAATTTGGAGTTAATCCAACGCGACGTTGAAACACTTCAATACCGCGATCATCAATTATTGTGGAATTCTTGGTATTTGTATTAACTTGGTGCTTTTTACGTTCACGGAACAGAGATGTTTTTTTTTTTTTTTTTATCTTCTCGCGCATTTATTGTCGAGAATTTTTTGCAGAACCTTTCGCTTGCGTGAATAACATTTCGCATGATCGATCCCGAAATGTCGACAAAAATATACTGGATTTTATTACAAGATATATTTTTTAAGCCGATAAAAAAAGTCCGAAAGAAACTTTTGGTGTAGAAAATCAATCGTTTTTCTAGTTAAGGTGTGCAATTTTGACGTTATTTTCTTTTACTTTGGTTTTTCTTTTTTGGGATTGACATTCTCGATAAGTCACTAATTTTCGTGTATTGGAAAATAATACGTGATTTCCGATAACGCCGTTTATTGGTCGACAAGATACCAATAATATGTGGTAAAATCAGAGAAATATATAAACAAGTGTAAAAAATATTTAATATATCATTTATCTCTTTAGTAAAATAATAACTATAAAAATATGTCGAATTATACGACAATTGTAAGAATCTTGTATATATTGTGATTTAACTATATATGTACATATATTTAACGTTGTAAAAAGATGTTACATTTAAATGTCCTCCCCCTTCCCCCCTAATAGCTGTAACGCACACTACTCTGACGTCTTACGTGTCGGAAGTAAATTCGACAAGCACGAACAGACTCACGGAGAGTTTCGTGCTTCGCGAACGTTTCGGTAAAGTTTTCGAAGGAACGATCGTTGAATGAAAATCGCGTGTGTTTCTGTTTTGGACGCGGAACGCACGATTTCCTCCGGAGGGAAAGCTCGCGTCTGCGACTTCTCCATGAACGAGCAATCCCAAATTGTACAGTACCGCTCGATGTCACCATGTAAATGCAAAACATGCCACTCACGTATGTAGTTAATGTCGGTAACTTGTACAGGATAATCCGGAAGTACCCGAAACTCACGTACAAATTCGAAAGCAACAATAACAGAGAAGAAAAATAACATTTGTGTATTTTTCGCGCGGAAGTTGGATCCCACACGCGATATTGTAACTCATCATGTCTTTCCCGTCTCGATCTATTGTCAAATTCTCTTTCGTGCTCTAAAAAACATCGAATCGATTTCAGTATTTTCGAGATTTTGCGAATCCTCGTGCGAACGTCTCGCACTTCGGCCACCTGAAATTCAATCGAACATTTTCCCGACTTAAAGCGGTACTTCCGGTATTAACCTGCACAGCATGCTCTCTCTCTCTCTCCACACACTGCCCTTCGGTGCTGACCAACGAAAAGTCAGTCCCGGTCCTCTGTTTCGCCAAGCCTGGCGCCTGCACTCTGAAAACGGTCGTGTGTGCTGGTGTGTATGTGTGTATGTGTGTGTATCAAAGGAACGCGCGCGGCAGTGTATTTCCGCCTCTTTATTTTGCCCTTTCGTGAAACCGCGATTGCAAAGCCTTTGCGCGTGTCAAGGTATGGTCGACATATGCAAAGAGCACGACTGGACGATTTAATACGATCACGCGCGAACGAGATCGAGAACACGCGTTAAAATTAACGCTCTCTTGAAAGCCGCGTTCTTGCAATTTTATTTAAAATTCTTTGATCTTGTGTGTTTCGCGATATTGAGAATTTTTCCTTCACGATGAGAGTTTTCGAATTCTTCCGCCGGTGTAATTTTTCAAAATTTGCTTAAACGCGTCGCTTCGTGCATGTGCTCTCTTCTGTAAAATATTCGCGTTTACACTTTGCTTGAAAAATAAATTAACAATCTCGCAACAATCTCTTTGAGATAAATTTGTTTTTTCTCGAAACGATTTCTTGAGCGATTTTCTTGGATTACTATGTTTTGTCACAGTTATTCAATTACAGTGTGCGAAACACACGAAGTAGAGCAACACACTGCCTTCGCAATCGATCAAAAAGCGGAAACACTGTGTAACAGCAGATAAGCGAGTGTTCTTAAGACGTCGGGAAAGAAAATTTTCCATTGACGCTGCCACGGCCATTGTTTAACGACCACGTCATGATCACGCGCAGAAAAAACGAGCCGACCGACCAGAAAAAACCGATCGATCTTCCGATGATCGACGACCACAGAAGCAAATATATATATGTGTATATATATATATATATAGAACGAATCTAAAAAACTTTGTCGCGTCCCACGTTTTGCAGAGTGCAGGTAAAGGAGTGTGTTTGATACCAAAAACCGACTTCGACTATGAGGCGCAACGTAGTTTTTACAGTTTATTGAATTCCTCCCCGTCCTCACCACGTAAATTTCACCCTCGTTGTTGTTTTGAACAAGCACCCGCGTAGTCGCACGGAGTGTACAAATTCGATATAAAATTTTGTAGCACAATTTCCCCCTGTATTATACACCCTTGTATATATGTAGAAGCGCACCAAGAGAACAGTTAACGTGCGATGTGAAAAAATGCACGTTGCACTGTACATAAGAATTGCACAGCGAGAAGAAGCTTGATAAAATAACGCGCCGCGGAGCGCGCACACATTGTTAACATTTCAAGTTTAATCTTTAAATGTTAGCACTAGGCAAGAAAAAGAGTAGACGCGAACGTCGGAGAACTATGGCGTAAGAGATTTTTGTTCTCTTATGATCTTTCCTTGTGCTTGAGCAATGAAATCGTCAAAAAAAAAGAAAATAAAAAGAGGATTTGTTAAGAACGAATTTTTTTGTGCGATATTTTCAATATTGTTTACAATATGTTTTTATTAACATTTTTTGAAGCTCAATTTCTTATTCATAAGCTCATTTCTTATTCAATATATATATTTCAAATATATATATTTCATATATATTATTTAAAATAATATATATTGTGTTGATAATACGTGTGTGAACTTTTACATTCGTTCAAAATGCAATTCAAATGAGATATCTCATACTTTTTCGAGAGTGGCGTAAAAGGACTTTTTTTTTACGGTAAATTTTGCGAGCAAACCTCGTTGGATAATGCGCGCGAAATATCGCACGCGCGTTGAAGGGTACAAATTAATGGACTACAAAAAACGAACAAAGAAGAGAATCGAAGAGCGAAAATTTAATATTTAATCAGACCGTGTGCCGCTTTTTGTCGCCCGTCGCGTATTTCAAGCATTCCGACGCACAGTTGCAGCAATTTCTCTTCCATAAATCCGACAAAAACTGATGTTACGGGCAATTACATAGCGTAATAACCGATCTCTCGCGTACTGGTGTCGGTAATGTGAATTTCGCAAAA